GCAGAGGGGCTCCAGCATCTCTGTGGCCCTTTGGATGTGCTCTCTCTCTGGTGACTTGGATTTATGGGGCTTTTTGCCAGCCCTGTGGGTGTTTTAAGGCAGCAGATCTGTCCATAAGTATGGGGCAGTTGTTGTCCAGAAGATTCTCAGGGGATCTCCATCTCACCTGGGGCAGCTCCTGGGTGATGACTGGAGGCAGGAAACCCATTGCCAGGTGCCCCGAGGTGCTTCTGACCCTTCCTGGGCACCTGGGTCACCTCTACAGCTGCTGGGGTGCCCTTGGCTGAGCCCTGGGGCTGCTGAGCAGTGTCCTTCCACCCCAGCTTCCCTCTCTTCTCCCCCTTCCCCTTCCTCTCCCTCCACTCGTGCCCAGCCTGGCTGCTCGGTGCTCCCAGAGCCAGGAGGTGGGACTGTGTTTGGGGTGACATCGTGCCCTGGGGCTTTGTGCTGAGTGGAGCAAATCCTGCTGAGGGGAGCTCTTCCAGGCACACCTGCCCATGGCCAAACACTGGGATTTTGCAGGGCTGGCCAAGGGCATTTGCTGCCAAATTGTAGATCCTTAGGAATACGAAGGGGAGGGAAGAGTGGGCTGGCAGGGAATGTAGGACAGATGCCAGACGTTGAAAGAGGGCAGTCTGCTTTTTCCTGGCTTCATCCCAGAAATCCCTGAATTCCTAAAACACCTGCAGGTGCTGAAAATAGGGAGATTTTTTGCTGGCACTTTTCAAGCCAGTGGCTGCAGTCTGGGGAAGGTGCAAGACTTTATTTTCCAGGAGACATCAGGCAGAGCTGGCATGGGCACCTTCAGAGGTGCTTCCAGAACCTTGGGAAGCCCTTTGCTGCTTTGGTGGGAGCGTGGAACCTCACTTCACCTTGGCAGCCATTGGAACTACCTGGAGGGTACAAGAAACATTTTGGGTTTCCTTGAGGGTTATTGAATCCCAGAATCCCAGACCAGTTTGTTTGGGAGGGATCTTAAATCCCATCCAGTGCCACCCCTGCCATGGCAGGGACACATTCCACTGTCCCAGGCTGCTCCCAGCCCTGTCCAGCCTGGCCTTGGGCACTGCCAGGGATCCAGGGGCAGCCACAGCTGCTCTGGGCACCCTGTGCCAGGGCCTCCCCTTCTTTTTTCTTCCTGAAAAAAGGGTTGGTTTGCTGTGACCCCGTTTGTTTCACAAAGGGGCCAAGGAGGGGTTGGGGGCCTGGCCTTGCTCCTATGAGTGGCTCGTCCCTTGCAGCTGCTGGTGGAGCACTCAGGGTTTGGCCCTCTCCAGGGTCTCTGCTGTGGTGGTGGCACCACAGGGTGTAGCAGCTCGTGCCAGGGTTTGTCCTTGTCGAGGGGGTGTGTGAGCCTCACCCTCAGCCTTTGCCCCCTGTGCCACTCGCTGTCTCCCCTCCTTCCTTCCTTGGGGATACCGGGCAAGGGTTTACTTTTATTTTTCAGGAATTTTGGCACAGAGTCCCAGAATGGGGGAGGTTGGAAGGACCACAGGGGCTCATCTGGCCCATGTCACGGGGCACAGGATTGTGTCCAGACTGTTCTGGCAGAACTCAAGGGAATATCTGAAGGTTCATGAATATCTGAAGGGACATTCAAGAGAGGAAGACTCGACAACCGAGGAAAATTTCCCTGGTCTTCCAGGCACCCCATCTCCCTCCAGAGGCCCCTGATCATTCTCTGCAGGCATGTCCTGTCCTGGGAGTGCTGCTGTGCTGTCGGTGGGAGAGGTCAGGGTGACACAGGGTGACCCAGGCCCCCCAAAGCCCCTCGTGCGTGGGGCAGGGATGGGTGTGAGGGTCTGCACCCCCACGCCTTGGCTTCCCCTCTGCCTCTGGGGTTCCTCATGGGGACTGTGGTGCTGCAGTCCCTGTCCTTCCAGCCCGAAGGGACCCGTTTTCCAACCATGTCCAAGGCTGTTGATCCTGCTCACGTCTTCTCCCCGAGCCTTGGGGAGCTTTAAAACCACCCATGACAGCAAAATGACTCAAAGGAGCGTTTCTGCCTCCTGCCTCGCCAGGGTTTGCAGGGATTGCAGATGAATTGCTTTGGAAAAACACATTAGCAAAGCAAAAGTTTATTCTAGGAAGTAGGAGGTGGGAGAATTGGCAGTAATTCTCCCTAGTATCCAAGGTATTATTAGAGGCTTATCCCTGCTCTGCACAGTAATCACATTGGAAATTTTTGATTAGAAAACAAAATCTAAATGAGAATTATGAATATTCATTAGGTGTGGAGATTAATATGCATAATTATGCAAATTAGACAGCAATTAAACACCAATTCTCCGGGGAAATGATTAACACAAAGGCACAGAAATAGAAGGATGTAATTTGAAAGAAGTTTCTGGTTAAATGAACAGTGAGGGGAGCGGAGGAGACAAATCTGAGGCATGTTTGCCATAATAATCAGCTTTGCCAAGCGAAGTGGGAGTGAGCCCTGACCCCCTGCCCCCATGTCCTTGCTGCCACTCAGCTCCCTGCTCCCAAAAGGGCATCCTGAGGCACCTGGTGGTGTCATCCCCATTGGAAGAACCAGCACAGGATGGATCCCCAGAGAGCCACGGGACCCTGGTGCTGCCACAGGACGATGCTGCTGGGAGAGTCTGGTGTCACTCCAGTGTGGCCGTGACCCCTGGTGGGGACAGGGGCTGTGCATGGCTTGGAAAGCGTCCGTGGCTGCTGCCACCCTCACTTTCAGCCTTCTGCAGATCTGGGATTTCTTCTGTCCAACCCAGCAAAGTCACAGTGTTTGTGCAGCACCTCAGAAGATGATGGATGCCCCCACCCTGCCCAGCCCCTCTCAGATCCCGGATTTGCCCCCTTAGAACACCAAGTGCTGATTCCCAGCCCCCGCTGTCACCCACAGTCCCCAGTCACCCACTGGAGCAGGAGATGGAGCAGCACAGTGAGATCCTGCAGCTGAGTCAGGTCGGGGCTGTTTTCCAGGGAAGGTTCCTTGCTTGTGGTCGTGGTATCAGCTGGAACTGTGGGAGCTGTGCTGATGCAACATCCCAAGGTTTTTCTGTCATGGTAGACATTCCCAGCTCACTGAAGGGGCTCCAGGAGAGCTGGAGAGGGACTGGGGACAAGGCCTGGAGGGACAGGACACAGGGAATGGCTCCCAGTGCCAGAGGGCAGGGCTGGATGGGAGATTGGGCAGGAATTGTTCCTGGCAGGGTGGGCAGGCCCTGGCACAGGGTGCCCAGAGCAGCTGTGGCTGCCCCTGGATCCCTGGCAGTGCCCAAGGCCAGGCTGGACAGGGCTGGGAGCAGCCTGGGGCAGTGGGAGGTGTCCCTGCCATGGCAGGGGTGGGATGAGCTGAGTCCCTTCCAGCCCAAACCATCCCCTGGTTCTCTGACTGCCCTGGGTGCAGCCCAGGAGGTGCCGCCCGTGTGGACTTGGCAGGGGATGAAAGGAGCCAATCTCCCACCGCAGCCTGTGCAGAAACATTGCAAAAACTTCTGCCTGCTCCTCTGCTCTTTGGGCTGGATCCCTTTTTGCTGGGGATATTCTTGGGAGGGCTAAAGCTGAGAATGCTGGGGGTGTGCTCTGATGGCCTCACTTCCTCAGGGGAACCTTGGGGGCTGAAAGATTACCCCTGAACAGGTGACTCTGTAATGTTGGACCCCCAGCAATTCCCACCTGAGGATTTCACCTCTGGGCACTCTTTTACTCTGCCCAGTTTGAATAGAGTATGGCCCATGATCTTGCACCACCATGGGCAAAATTCAAGTCCTGCTGGAGCATCCAAATGGATGCAATGTGGTTTTGATTTACAGTTCAGTCCCTTTCACTGCCACTCTCCGGGGGAAGGAGATTCGTGGGTGCTCTCTGGAATAAAGGAGTTAAAATACTTGTTTCTCCTCTTCCCACTGTCCCATGTTTTGAACCATTTCCAGGCTGTGGTAGGATTTGCTTTGAAGTTTGTGGAATAACTCCCAGTGGGAGTGGGAAGGTGAGGAGGCAGAGGGGAGGCTCGGTCATGCCAAGTGGAAGTGGTTTATTAATGAAAATATTGTTTTGTTTGTAGAAGGAAGAGTTAATTTTACGAGAACACCTTTGAGGCTTTGCTGATAAAGCAAAGAGTAACCTTTGTTCTTCCTGTTTTTCGGTAGGCTTGGATGAAAGGCCGGGATCAGGTTCCTGGGGAACGGCAGATCAAAACAGCTCCACGTTTGACCAAGGAAGGGTAAGGACAAAGCACAAACACCAAACTGCAACCAAAACAAACGGGGTCTTTCCCAGGCCTTTCAGAGCCTTGGCTCTAACCCTAGAACAGCTTTTCTTGCCCCATTTTGGACATGGGTTCTGTGAACTCTAGGGTTTCCCCCATCCCCATCTCCCCAGACTTTGCTGCCTTGAGGTTTCTCCTCCAAAAACCTTTCCCAGACCCGCTCAGGCATTTCCCTCCCTGCACCCGGTGTTGGTGTGGGGAGAGGGGACCCAGGGGGTGGGACAGGTCCCCAGAGGAGACACAGATGGGTGGGTTGAGGGATCTGAGTGGATTGAGGGATCTCATCTGATGGCAAAGCTTCCTGAGCAACCATCCCACAAGACTTTGGGAACCTGAGGAGGGAATCCCTGCAATCCACCACATTGTCTGGCCATGGCACCCTTGGTGGGGAGGGGTTTTGCAGGGAAGGAGTTGAGGCTGCTGCAACACTCATGACTGGGGCCTGAGAATGGGAAGAGAGAAATGCCACAAACTCCATGGAAATGTTGTAATTTTTATTTTAATGGGTTTGTGTGATTTGTTTTTGCAATGGCACCTTTCCCTCCTCTCCCATCAGCAGCAGAGCTGGGGCTGTGATGTCAGCTCTCACTTGTATATTTAGAATTTATATATTTATATAAATATATCTAAAAATATACATTTATATTTATCCAGCCTTTTTCTTGCTCCTTCACCCCCCTGGTTCAGGGATGGGCTGCCTGGCTTTCAGCTGGTGGGTGCCAAAAAGCTGCCAGCATGTGACAAAGCATGGTTCCATGTCCCCTCTTGCCACGTCCCCAGCTGCCAGGTTCCCTCCCAGTGCCACGGCCTCTGCACTGCCCAGCTCTCCTCTGGCACGAGGATCAAACCCTTTCCATGCCCTTTTCACAAGGAGCCTTTGGCTTTGTCCCTTCCCGGGGGAGGCTGGGCCCCGGCAGCCTCGTGTTTCGTCCCCACGCTGTGTGTGACTGTCCCCTGTTGTCCCAGCAGAGCTATGGCGAGGGCCCCCACTACGGCGAGCACCGGGAGCTGCCATCCCACAACAGCATCTCCTCGTCACCCTTCCTGGGAGCTGGACTCGTGGGTGAGTGCCTGCAGCTGCCTGGAGGTCCCCAGCGCAGGGACACGTGCTGGGGGATTGCTGTTCCCTGGGCTGGACCTGCTCCAGGTGTTCCCAGGTTGTCCAGGGAAGTGGCACCCAGAGGGTTCCAGCTGTGCCAGCTGTGCCAGCTGTTTTATGTGTGTGGTTATGTTTCTCTGCTTTATGGTAGCACCCCAAGGCAGGGGTGCCCGCTCCAGGTCGATGCCCCTCAGGATGGGCTGAGTGTGTTTCTGGGAGCTGGGAATTAGGGTGGGAGTGGTGCTTATTGTTAAGGATTTATTAAGGACTTGGGATGACCCTGCTTGAGTGGGGAGGTGGCACCAGCTGATCCCACTGGGTGACTGTGATGTGCTGGTGGCTGTGTCACTTCCCAGAGAGCTGGGGGTGCTGCCTTTGCTGCAGTGGGGTTTGGAGGAGCCTCTTCCCAAATCCTGGCAGGCTCCAGCAGCCTTGTCTGGCCCCTCCGTCCCCAGCTGCAGGCAGGCAGTGTGAGGAGCTCACAGGGAAGGTGATCCCGCATGGCCAGATGTGTGTGACCATTCACTCAGTCACCTCTCCCAGCTCAGGGGTGGGAGGAGAGATTAAGAGCAGAAAATATCCCTCCTGGAGGGCTTAGAGAGCTCTAATGGCGTTAGGTCAGGAATTGGGGTTAGTCCTCCCCATCTTTGCCCACGCAGGGGTGGTTAAAACACTCCAGCACATGGGGAAGGAGCGAGGCCAGGGCAGGGCTTGCTGGTGGTTGGAAGGGAGGAGTAAGAAAAGGGAATCGTGTTTGAAGCAGAAATCCCCCCAACACAAAATCCCCCCTGTGGATGTGGTGGCAAAGGGGAAGAGCAGAGCAGGGTCGTGCTGGCTACACATTGGCCCCTCCTGGCCTGGGTCAGGGCTTGGGGCTCGCTGTGAGCTCTGCTTCCCCCTTTCCCCTTTGGGAAACACGTTTGGGTGTCCCTTGGGATCTGTGCAGGGGGAGCAGCTTTTCCGAGCAGCTCCCCCTGTCCCTCTGCAAGGGAGGATCTTCCTTCTCCCTCTCTGCCCCAGGAGGATGTAAGTGGAGCACAGAGAAGGTTTTGGGTAGGACGGGGGAGCCTTGCTGCAGCTCAGCAGGGCTTGGGGGGGATGTGCGTGGGGGGACCCATCCCAGCCCATCCCACCCCTGGGGCCAAGGCAGCCCTGAGAGTTTCCAGCTGAGAAGGAGCTGCCCGGGGAGAGCACAGAGGTTCCCCTTTGATGTGTGCGGGGAAGACGCCTTGGCTGCCTCCCGGGGCCGGGGCTCCTGCCAGCCCCACGGCTCCCAGCTCCTGGGGCCTCCGTGGCTGATGTCCCCTGGCTCTGGGGCCGAGCACCGGCCCTGGGGCCACACTCTGGCCCCAGGCTCAAGGGGCTGCACCTCCCCAGGGGGGTCAGGGCAGCACCAGGAGCTCCACCACTGAAATAGGGAACAGGCAGGGGGGAAGGGTTCCTCACATTTCCAACTCCCTTTTGTTTCTACAATTGAACGTGGTTCAAGTAGAAAGCATCCATTCTGGGAGCAGCTTCCAAAATACATGAATGACTTTTCATTGTAGAATCAAAGAATTATGGAGTGCTTTGGGCAGGAAGGGACCTCAAGCCCATCCAGTGCCACCTCTGCCATGGCAGGGACACCTTCCACTGTCCCAGGCTGCTCCCAGCCCTGTCCAGCCTGGCCTTGGGCACTGCCAGGGAACAATTCCTGCCCAATCTCCCATATAAACCTCTTTGCTCATGTGCCTGGAAGTAAGGACATGGGGAAGAGCAGGAGTGGGATTTTCTCCTCCTCTTTTCCAAGCTGTTTCTGAAAACTTTTAGAGTGGCAAAACTCAAAGGGATAAATGAGAGGACAGTCAGGAAAATAAAATAATGCTTCTGTAAAAGCAGAGGGAAAATGGGAGGGAAAGTGGAGTTTTGGAAATGTGTCCCTCTGTCTGCCAGGCCCTGGTTGCCAGCAAGGTGCCCCTCAGGGTGGGAAGTTCATGTTAATGAGGTGGTTGAGTGGAACCAGGGAATTTCAAAATCTGAGGAGGCGGAGGGAGCAGATGAGGGTGAACATGTTGTGGCTGTTGATTGATGAAAGGTGTGTAAAACATCTAAGCCCTTTTCCAAGATTAGAATTTTTATATCTTTACTACTCAACCTCTATTTATTCAAGGAGGACCAGGAACTGTGGGAAGAGCCATTTTGGGAGCAGCCTGGATGCTCTCTGTTGGCTGTGGTGGGTTGGGCCAGTAGAGAGGGAGGCTGAGCTGAAAGGGCCCCCCAAAGTCAGCGCTGGGGCTCTGAGCAGTCAGGGTGGTGATGGCTCCTCCTGGGACCCCCATCCTTTGGATTTTGTGTTCCTGCAGTCTGTGCATGTCCCAGAGCCAGGCTACAGCCCCCTGTCCTCTGAGGGAGGGCTTTAGGGGCAGGGAGCACCTTTCCCCAGCAAAGGGACACTACAGCAGGCAGCACTTGTTGGAGAAATTGAGCAAATGGTGATTTTTTTTCCTCAATTTTCCACATGGAAAGGGAGGCTGTGCTCTGACCAGTCTTTGGTGGGCTGAGGAGCTGCTGCCAGCCTGAGCTTTGAAGCAGTGACCACATCCCTTCCAGGGTGGAGCCTTCCCCTGTCCCTGCAGGCTGGTGGCAATTTGGGGCCCAGGAGATCCCGAGGGGGATCCCAGATGCAGCCAGTCCTCACCCTCCTGCACAAGTCCTGTCACACTCAGACTGATCTGACGGGAGCAGGGAGCGAGGAGAGGAACTGGGAATCTGCAGGGTGGAGTGGCCCTTTGGGTAAGGGAGCAGTGGAATGTGTCCTCCAGATTTCTGCCCAGTGTGTCTCTGTGCTGGGAGCTGGTGTCACAGACTCCACCAGCAGCAAACTCGGTGGGAAAGGCAGGGCTGGAGGGATCTGGCCCAGGAGAGAAGGAAAGCAGGTCTGAGTTGGAGGGGAGCAGGACATTGCCAGCACATCCCTGAAACCCCTGCAGGCTGTGTCCCTGCCCTTTGTTCCTGTCCTGGTTGGGCCCTTTGGTGTCACCCCAGCCCAAGCTCTCCTCCCCAGCCCAGGGTCCCCTCCCAGGGGCAGTGAGGAAGGGGCTGCTCAGCTCTGGGGTGGAGCTGGGGGAGTACAAAGCTCTGATTTAATCCCTGTTCTGCCCTGCAGTGGCCCCAGGGAGGGATGGTCACTGCTCCTCACCCCAGTGCAGCCAGTCCCGGGGTGGTGACCTTGTGGATCACAGGGTGCACACCTGATCCAAAAGCAGTTTGAAAGGAAAATCAGTGATTTCTGTCATGGATGTTCTTTGGATGAACATGGGGCATGAGGAGCTTGGCTTTAGGAGGTGTCTTCAGCACAGAGCTGAGAGGGGCTGCACTGACACAGCCCCTGGGGGAGATGTTCCCCTCATCCAGGCTCCCAGAGGGCTGTGGGTGATGCCACTCCTGCTCTCATTAAAGGTGCAGTGTGGGGGGAATCCTCAATTACTTCCCTCAGCCACAGCTTCAGCTCCACAGGTGATGGGGAAAATCAGAGCTTCTGCAGGACAGACTGGGCAGGAACCTCTAGGCTGTGTTGCACTGGATGAAATTACCTGAATTGGTCAAAAGAATAAGAAAACAAATTAGGAAGTGTCCCATGGAGGGACACGGAGCTGGGGAAGGTCTGAGGAGCGGCTGAGGGCACTTGGCTCGTTCAGCTGGAGCACAGGAGATGAGGGGAGGCTCCTCGGGGCTGCAGCTCCTCCCGAGGGGAGGCAGAGGGGCAGGGGCTGAGCTCTGCTCTGGGACAGCTCCTGGAGCCCAGCGAGGGCTGGAGCTGTGCCAGGCCTTGGCATGGAGCTCAGGGAAAGGTTCTTCCCCCCGAGGGTGCTGGCACTGCCCAGGCTCCCCAGGGAATGGTCCCGGCCCCGAGGCTGCCAGAGCTGCAGGAGCGTTTGGACAGCGCTCTCAGGGCTGCTCAGGGTGGGGCTGTTGGGGGGTCTGGGCAGGGACAGGGGCTGGGCTGATGATCCCTGGGGGTCCATTCTAACTCAGGATATTCCAGGATTCTGTGTTTCTAAACCCCTGAATGGAAACTCATCAGTGCTCTGAATGAGAAGCATCCCAGGTTGCTGGGTGGGGGGCTTTGAACCAGGTGAGCAGGTGCAGAACCAATGTCTGAGCCCTCCATTGCTCCCTCCTCCAGGTTTTCCAGCTTTGAGCCTTTGGTGCTGCTGCTGGAGGACAGGGAACGTCCTGGGGAGTTCTGAGCTGCCCAGCCTGGGGTGGGGAGGGGTGACAGGAGCAGCTTTGACTGTCCCAGGTCGGTGCCAGGACACCACACAGTGACACGCCAGCTCAGCTCATCCCAGAGGATGAGGAGGGCGAGGAGGGCTTTTCTAAGTCACCAATTTCACAATTTACCGTTCATCTTCAGCAGGGACAGGCTGGGAGTGGGGTGGTTAAACGGCGAGGAAACTGATAAGCCATAACAGATTTCTTTCTAGTAATTATTTCTAGTAATTAGCTGCCTTTCAGAGCAGTGTTCCTAATCGGGTGGGTATTGTCAGTGCCTGTAGACTCGGGTCTTCCTGGACAATGGGTTTAATCAGGGGGTTGCTGCTGCTCCTGTTTTTTTAACTTCTTTTTTTCTTCCCCGTTTTTAATCCCTGGCTGTGTTTTGCCTCCCCTTTTCCCCCAGGCCAGAATTCTAATGGAATTCTAATGGAATTAGCAGTGTGGGGCTGGGGGAGGTGCATGGTGGGTGGTAGCTGTGCTGGGGCTGGGGTGATGTGGGGGCACTGGTTCTTCCAGTGGGTGCTGGAAAAACTTGTAGGCAGCATTTAAATATTTTTTCTTGGGCTGTCAAGTGCAGACCCAGGAGTTGGACTTCAGTGATCCCTGTGGATCCCTTCCAACTCAGGCTGTTCTGTGATTCTGTGGTCTGTGAAATGGCAAACCCATGAGTTTATGTAAAAGCAGTTTGCTCCAGTGGAGGTGAGATGCTGCCATGATCCAGGGTGCCAAAGCCAATCCCTGACACTGCCAGAGCGGGTGAGAACCTCTGGGAAGAGCAGTTTTTATTTTTCCACCTCATCTCCAAGCTCAGAAGCAGATGTGCACTTGGGAGGAGCGGCACAAACGGCGTGGGGGGCTCCTCTGGAAAAGCCCTGGGTGAAGGCAGGGCTGGGGGAGGCTCCCCAGAGCCCCACACAGCCAGATCCTGCAAGAGGGAACATGCTGGGAGAGGAGAGAGGCTGGGAAAGGCTCCTTAGGCAGGGCTGCAGGCAGCACAGGCAGATGAGGGGCAGAAGGAGCTGGCAGGGGGAAAGGCAGGAGGGGGATGCCAGAAAGATCTGGAAATGCTGAATGCTCTCAGCCAGTGTCTGGCTGCACTGACTCGAGGTGCCTCCACTGTGCTTCACCTCCTTTCCAAAGGAATCCCCTTTCCTTTTCGAGGGATTTATTCCCACTATCTCCTCCTCTTCCTCCCACGTTCATCTGCAGGATTTCAGTCATTCTGCTGGGACCAAGATGGGGTTTGGGACAATTCCTGGTGGGTTTTTCCCAAGTTACTGAGACTCTTCTCCATCCTGCTCCTTGTCTGCTTCCTGGGGCTTTTCCACCTTTCTTGGTTGGTGCCCTGGGCTGTGGCTGCCAAGGGGTGACAGGGTTGGTTGCCACCTGTGCCATCTGCATGTCCACAGAAACAGCTCCTTCTGCTGGCAAGGTCAGCCTTTCCTTGCCCAGCTTGTGCACCTTTTGAATTTCAGCAGGTTTAGGTACATTCCAATGCAGAAAAGTTTGCTGTTCTTTCTTCTGCCTTCTTTTCATAGACACTTAAATGTAAAATCTTTGTTGCTGAGTTTTTTGCTGTTTTTTCCCTTGTTATGTGATGATGGAGGGTGCAGGAGGTGGGGCTGGCCAGGGCTGCCTTCTCTTTCCTAATGTCCCCCATCCCGTGGGACACCCACAGACCCAAGGGTGCAGCAGATGCTGAGTGAAGAATGAGAGACATCCAGAGAAGGTTGTGGGTTTGGAGCAGTGCAGAGCTGGCAGTGGCTGGAATATCCTGAGTGGGAAGGGATCCTCAGGGATCATCAGCCCAGCCCTGTCCCTGCCCAGACCCCCCAACAGCCCCACCCTGCGCAGCCCTGAGAGCGCTGTCCAAACGCTCCTGCAGCTCTGGCAGCCTCGGGGCCGGGACCATTCCCTGGGGAGCCTGGGCAGTGCCAGCACCCTCGGGGGGAAGAACCTTTCCCTGAGCTCCATGCCAAGGCCTGGCACAGCTCCAGCCCTCTCTGGGCTCCAGGAGCTGTCCCAGAGCAGAGCTCAGCCCCTGCCCCTCTGCCTCCCCTCGGGAGGAGCTGCAGCCCCCGAGGAGCCTCCCCTCATCTCCTGTGCTCCAGCTGAACGAGCCAAGTGCCCTCAGCCGCTCCTCAGACCTTCCCCAGCTCCGTGTCCCTCCTTGGGACACTCTCCAACAGCTTTGGCTCCTTCTGACCTTGTGGTGCCCAAAGTGCCCCCAGCACTGGAGCTGAGGCTGCCCCAGGGCAGAGCAGAGTGGGACAATCCCTCCCTGGCCTGCTGCCCCCAGGACAGGGCGGCCCTTTGGGCTGCCAGGACTCAGCGGTGCCTCAGATCCAACTTGCCGCTGACCAGGACCCCCAGGTCCCTTCCCACGGTGCTGCTCTCCAGCCTCTCATTCCCAGTCTGTCCCTGCATCCCGGGCTGCCCCATCCCTGGGCAGGATCTGACTCTTGGCCTTTTAAACTTCACATGGCTGGGGATTGCCCAGTGTCCCTTCACCTTCTCACACATGTCCAGGAGTCCCCTGGTTCAGCTCAAGTTCTCTGGTAATGGCAGAGGCTGCTGGATGGGGTTTGAGCACCCTGGCACAGTGAAGGTGCCCCTGCCCATGGCAGGGGTGGAACTGGGTGAGCTTTAGGGTCCCTTCAACCCAAACCATTCTGTGATTCCCCACTGCAGTCACACATGGAAACAGCAATGTGTTATCAGATGGGAGACCTGGCTGTTGCTGTCCAGCCCACCCCCCTGGCATTACCCTGGAGTAATCAGAACCTGCCTGATGCCACAACCTGCTGTGTCCTTTGTGCGCGTGGCTGGTGCTGTGGTGGATCGAGCTCTTAAGCTCTTTTAGAAATTAGGTCATTTAGGAGATCCATCCTCTGACATTTTGACCTTGGTTTATTTAACGTTTAAGCCTCTGAAAGGAAATGGCAGCAGCACCCAGGCCCGGCTGTCACTGGATGGAGGGAGAGGGGGAGGCTGCAGGAATGGGGGTCTGGGGCCTGGGGGTCATAGTGGGAGAATCCACTCTTAAAGTTTTTGGGTTGAGTACAAGACCTCCATGGTAAGGTTGCAAAATGAGCAGCCTCTTCTCTCTTCCCATCTGGCACAGGGTGCCCAGAGCAGCTGTGGCTGCCCCTGGATCCCTGGCAGTGCCCAAGGCCAGGCTGGACAGGGCTGGGAGCAGCCTGGGACAGTGGGAGGTGTCCCTGCCGTGGCAGGGGCTTGGAATGAGATGAGCTTTAAGATCCCTTTCAACCCAACCCACTCTGGCATTCTCTGGGCCCTGTGCTTCAGAGGGGATGTTTTGAGGCATTTTGCTTCCCCTCCCCTCTTCATCTGCTCCTCAGAACCTCTCAGTGGTGTGGGGAGGGTCCTGCCAGCCCCAGCATTGCCCAGTGCATTAACCTGCATCTCAGTGGCCTTGGGGCTGGCTTCAGGCTGAGTAGATTGGCAAAAGCCTGCCCCTCCCAATGTTGCTCACTAAGCCAAGCAGAGGCAGGATGTGATCTGTGATCCCCTTTCCAGGACGGGGGTGGGGGCTGGTGGAGTGCCTGTTCCCCACTAGAAGTGTCGGGTTTTGCTTTAGAGGGATGGAGAGAATCCCACAGGACACTGTTGTGCCTCCAGCTGCTGCAGCACAGCACAGAACCATTCCCTTCCTGCCTTCCTTGAGTCTTTGCTGTCCTGGCACCGCTGGGTGCTGCTGGCTGGGGCAGTGACCATGAGGCAGGAGAGTGCCAGGATGTTTTGGAGAGGGAGCATCCCAGCAGGTATCTGGGCTCCATTTTTTTTTTTTTTTGGCCCTTCAAAACTTGATTTTCAGCTGCATGTGTGCATGGTGAGGTGGTTGTGAGAGAAGCCCTCATTGATGCTGAGTGCCATGACAAGGAGGAATGGCTTCTCACTGCCAGAGGGCAGGGATGGATGGGAGATTGGGCAGGAATTTTGCCCTGGCAGGGTGAGCAGGCTCTGGCACAGGGTGCCCAGAGCAGCTGTGGCTGCCCCTGGATCCCTGGCAGTGCCCAAGGCCAGGCTGGACAGGGCTGGAAGCAGCCTGGGACAGTGGAAGGTGTCGCTGCCATGGCAGGGGTGGCACTGGATGGGCTTTATGGTCCTTTGCAAACCAAATCCTTCTGGGAACCTGTAGCTTCACAGGGACACTGCTGGCACAGGGCTGTGCCCGCACAGATCCCAGCTGGCTGTGGGGAGCTGCAGGTTCTGGGAAGTTGAGCCTCCCCCAGGAGAGAGGAAGAAGGTGCCCAGTGCCCTGTGTGGAGCAGGAGCTCATCTCCCGTTTGCTGGGATTGTGTTTCCTGTTGTCTGGGAAGCACCCCTGGGTCTGCTCCCTTGTCCTGCCCTTGCTCTGCTCACCTCTGCCCCTGCCAAGCCCAGCTGGCCGGGTCTCAGTGTCTGCAGGGAGCTTTTGGCTCAGGCTGGCACTGCCAGTTTCCATGGCCACCAGCACTTCCCTGTGCTGCTGCAGCTCCCATTTAGTGATTTTGGACCTGCTCTCTGTGAGCTTAAAGCAGCTCCTGCTTCAGCACAAGCTTTTCAGGTTGTCCCTTCATGGGAGGGCAGGGTGAGCTGCCTCATGGCAACAGAATCCTTGGCAGGATCCAGGTGCCTGGGGGCAAAAAAAAAAACCCACTTCCCTCTTACCCCAAACCTTGTCTTTTCTCCTTCTGCAGGGAAGAGCAGTGAAAGAGCCTCATACTCCACGTTTGGAAGAGACACAGGGATGCCAGGACTAAACCAGGTAATGATAAAATGCAGTGAGATTTTCTGTTTCATTTACTGGCTCCTGAGACTGAGAGTCTGGTAATGAAAACCAGCCTAGATTTACATCTCAGCTCCATTCAGGGGTCCTGGGAAGCCTCTGCTCTGCTCCAAAACCACTGTGGAGTGTTGGGGGTTCATACTGGTGTGTGCTGCTGGCTCAGAAGAGTTGTCAGAGGGTAGAAAATTATGGTTGTAGAAGCTTCTCACTTCCTTCCCAATCTTCTCCAGCCTCACTCGTTTTGTTATTGTTACTCCTGGTTTGTATTTGATCAGCCCTGACCCAGCCACGCTGCCTTGCTGGGGAGTTCCAGGGAGTCAGATCCAAGCAACACCTTTCCCTGTGCCAGGCTGGCTGTGGGCAGGGGAATGTTCCAGAGGCTCCTTCCCCCTCCACTGCCTGCCCTGGCCTTTGCCTCTCCTTCTGCAGCAGTGTGTCCCAGCTGCAGCATCATTTGAGTGACTGTCAGGTGGAGCTTTGGTTTTATGGTGGGGCTGTTGATGCAGGACCTGCAGCAGGAGCTCTCTGTCCAGCCCTGGGGCAGCATCAGGACATGGAGCTGCTGGAGCCCCTCTGCCATGGAGCCAGGCTGGGAGAGCTGGGGGTGCTCCCCTGGAGAGGAGAAGCTCCAGGGAGAGCTCAGAGCCCCTGGCAGGGCCTGAAGGGGCTCCAGGAGAGCTGGAGAGGGACTGGGGACAAGGCCTGGAGGGACAGGACACAGGGAATGGCTCCCAGTGCCAGAGGGCAGGGCTGGATGGGAGATTGGGCAGGAATTGTTCCTGGCAGGGTGGGCAGGCCCTGGCACAGGGTGCCCACCCTGGATCCCTGGCAGTGCCCAAGGCCAGGCTGGACAGGGCTTGGAGCAGCCTGGGACAGTGGGAGGTGTCCCTGCCATGGCAGGGGTGGCACTGGATGGGCTTTAAGGTCTCCCAACCCAAATCCTTCTGGGACTCCATGATCTCCACAGTCCTGTAAGGGACCCAGCATACCAGAGCCAGCTCTTGCAGACACAGCCCAGCCCTGTTGGGTCACCCCATGTGAACCCCGGGGCTCTGCTGGGGCAACAACTTTGCTTCCTGTGGGGAATACCACAGGTGTCAATCTGAGCCTGGCACACAGTGGAGCAGCCCTGAGATAACCTCCCCTGCTGCCAGCAGCATCCAGAAATAGTTTTTTGGGAAGGAGTGAGCACCTCCCTTTGATGTGTGGCTCCAAGTGCCCCCTCAGTGCCCGGCGTGGCCCTGGGGAAGCAGTCCCAGCACCGGAGCCAAGGGAGGAGCTTTTGGCCGGACAGCTTTTATTTTGTCCATGTACACACACACATATTACATGTTTTAATTTTACACAAATTTGTCATAATTTCCTCCTCTCTGAAGTGAGGATGTTTCCTTTGCTGGAGCAGCTGTGCTGGCTGTGCCAGAGTGGATTTCATTTACCACTGAAGCTGCTCAAAGAAAAGCGGGCCCGGTGCCAAGTGTTGCTTTTGGATGTGATGGTTTTGCTGGGCTTTCGTGGAGGAGGGGGAATATAAGGTAACAGAAATGGGGGGGCAAATGGCTGGAGAGGCCCCGGGAGAGGCGGGCACAGGGCTGGGGATCGGGTGGCAAATCCCACTTGATGTGGAGAGGAGACAAAACCCCCTTGTGGGGGGTTGGGGGAGGCCAATGGAGCCTCTGTGGCCCCCGGAGCAGTTGTTGCTTCTGGCTCCAGTTTGGGGGGAGTGAGGGGGGTTGATTTTTGTTTTGTTTGTGAAAACATGAAAAATTGTCTGTTGGAGATGCCCTGGATGGGGATCAAGTTCTTGCCAAAAGTGCCCTGCTCTGGTAGGGTAGAGCTGGCAGGGCATTTCCCCTTTGTTTAACCCTGAACCTTCTCCAGGGGCATCCCCAGGGAGAGGAAACGGGAAGAAAACCCCTTTCTCTGGCCATTGCCTCCAAGTCCCAGTGTGTCTCCTGCCTGCAGGAGGAGCAGGGCAGCAGCTCCCGGGATCCCTCCGGGTGCTTTCCTTGGCCACGCACGGAGCGGGTCCGGAGCAGAGGAAACCTGAGCAGTGGAACAGATTGCAGGAATGTCACCAGCTGTGAACACACGAGCTCCTCTTTCCCTCCCTGACCCCTTTCTGGAGGAGACAGAGTTTGAAAGCAAAGGTTTTTCTTTCCTGTTTCTCAAAAGCCTGAAATCTTCCTTTATTTCCATGTGTTGCCCTCGGAAGATGGGTCAAAGCTGAGCTTTTGGGACTTGAGGGCCCTTTGGCAGCCCTGTGCAACTCCATGTAAATACTCTGAACTTCCTCCCGAGGTGAGAGGGGCAGTGCTGGAGGAGAGACTCATTCCCAGGAGGGAGCACCCTGGGCTCTGGCTCTGCTGCTTCCCAGCGTGCCCAAGGTCAGCCGGGATAAACAAAGGGAGGAGTTTCCTGGCTTTACAAAGAGGGATTTGGCTTTTCCCTGATAAAACTCGGGAGAAAACCACCCTGGGCAGCGGCAGAGCCATTCCAGGGCACTGGCCACAACATGGGCTGGTGACATCAGGCTCAAGCTGTCCTCCTGGGCATCAAGGTGAGCATGGGACCATGCTGGTCCTACCAAGGCACCTGCAAGGTGACTGTGGGACTGCGATGTCCCCCACCATGGCACCTGCTGGTTTGCATCCCTGGTTTGCAGTGGTTCCTTGCTGGGGTCCAGCAGGAAAGCACAAGCTGAAAGCCTCTTTTGTTCCTCCACACCTATTCCCCTACCTCCACCCCCATATTTACGGATTTGCTTTCCCTCCTGGCCCCTTGACTCGTGTTTATTTTTCCCCTCAGCTGAATTGGTGTGAAGGTGGCTCAAAGCAGCTCTGTTCTCTCCCAGCGAGTCATTTTCCAGTGTAATTCCATGGAAGGCCTTTTCTCTCTCCTTGTTTGCAGCCTGGTTTCCTGCCCAGCGAGATGGGAATCGCCAGCCCGAGCACTCTTTCCCCCACGGGGGGCAAAGGGGGGTCTCAGTATTTTTCTTACCCCAACAATCCTCGCAGGAGAGGTGCTGAGAGCAGCATAGGTGAGTGACTGCGTGTCCCCCGGGTGCCACCATGCCACCTGGGCAGGTGCCCTCGTCAGATCTGCCTTTGGGAATGAGGACATTGATGCTGGAAATGAGGGACTGATGTTGACATCTCTGCCCTGGCATGAATTTGGCATTTCCTCTTTTTTGGGGAGGGAATGCATATAAATATCTCTTTTATATATATAGAGAGAGATCTAACCTCAAAAAAGGGGTGCTCAGAATCAGGTTTCCCTCTTTCTGGAAAATGCCAGATTAGCTGAAAGCAGCAAATTGCTTGAGGTTCTTGTAAAAACACCTCCAGCCACGCTGCACATCGCTCGTCCTTCCTGGCAAAGCCTGGGCTGTTTGTGTGGCTGGTGGCCCCCTGGAGCTGCAGCAGGCAGGGCTGGCAGGAGGTGCTGGAGCTGTGCCTGGGACTCGGGGAATGTTTGCTCCAGGAGCTCCCCCTGCCCGCCCCACTGTTCCCAAGCAGGGCTTGCCCATGTCTGGATGGACCTGGGAATAAGCTTCTCCCAAAGGCTGGGGTCAGGTGTGCGTTTAACTTCAGAGGGAGCACAAGCTCCAGTTCCCCAGAACTTGTGTTTCTCATCACAGTTCCCCTGCACCCTCCAGAGCCACTTTCTTGCTGCTATTTTGGGCTTTCCCCAATGAGTGAAACCAGAAGTGACCCAGTGATGGGTGCATTTTTCAGTGCTTTTCAGAAAAAGGCACCTACTCTGGTGCTGCCACTTGAGCCTGGAAAATGATTCTCTAGCATTCTGTGGGATAAACTTCTGCTCTGGAGGTACATCCCAGCAGATGGAGGGATGGCTTGGCAGGTTGCTGTGTCAGCACACTGCACCCCCCAGCCAGGGCTTTCCTTAATTATGAAAATAATAAAAAATAATTATTATTAATAATAATATAAAGTAGCAATAAAATATAATTATGAAAAAATGAATTTTTTTTTAAATTTAGCCAGTGCTTCCCCTGGAGCCACTTCTGAATATTTCCCCACCACCTCCCTGAACTGTCCCCTTCCCCCAGGACACTGAGTCCCCCTCCAGAGCTGGAGCTGGAGGGAGGGGCTGGGGTCTGTCCCTGGGAAGCACATCCCTGTCTCCTGCAGCAGTAAAGCTTTCCCAAGTCTATCCCTGTGTAGGAAGCAAAGGAAAATGTAGCCCAGCCCTGCATGTGTTCCCTTTCTGCATCTTCTCTCCACAAACCCACTTCAAGTTAAAAGTGTTTCCAAAAAAAAGCCCCAATGAGGGGTTATAACATTAAATGTTACTATATTTATGGGCTCAGTCTCTCTCAACAAGCCCGTCCTGTCCTGTGATCTCTGTATGGGTGTGAAAACTGCCCCCAAAGGGAGCAGGTAAGATTTGGAGAGACTCATCCTTGGACATTTTCACTGTTGATGCTTCCTTAGCCAAGGAACATTTGGGATCTCAGCCCTGTCTGTACCTGTAGTTTCCAAGCCCAGAGACTTTTGCTGCAGCTCATTTCCCCTCCCTCTAACCCCTTGAAAACTCGGATCTCTCTTCTCTGACACAGATGGACAGCCCAAAAAGGTTCGGAAGGTGCCTCCTGGACTCCCCTCCTCGGTAAGTGGCAGCAGCGTTGCCCATTTTGCGTGCCCTGGGAGCCGTCCCTGCTCCCTGTGCCCCAGCGGGGTGCCCAGGCTAACATCTGCAAACTCGCAGGATTTCTGCCAGCAGCTAGGACCCCAAACAGCAGCTAGGACCCTGGGAAATGAGTTCTCCTTCCCATGGGAAAGGGCCTCTGCTTGCGGCCACTGGCGCTGGCTGACGCTGGGGTGCCAACCTAAAAATGTGCAAACTTTACAGGATTTCTCCCAAACTCAAGCTGCCGGCAGCGAGGACCCTGGGTGCATGGCAGGCTGGGATTTCAGCGGGCTGGGGAAGGGAATTCCCGTGCGGGAGAAGGGAGGCCAGGGGGGCTCCATGGGAGCTCCTGTGGAAGGCGACACCGCGGCTCGGGTTTCGCACTTGCGCTGGGGCGGCAGCTGAGCCCGCTCCAGGTGTGCCTGCTTTGCAGGAAAGCTGAGCAGCCTGCAGGAATACGCCATCCCTGCTCCCGCGGCTGTTCGGGGGAACAAACTGAACAATGTCTTTGTGGCTGCAAGTAATGGGATCTCCAGGAAAGCTAATTGGAGCGGGCTGCAGGGTTCCTGCAGGAGCACGGGAGCTGTCTGGAGGCCGGGGCTGCATTCCTGGCTGGAATGTTTGTGTGCTTGGAGGGGTCCGGCTCTGTCCCCTGACCGGGGCTGTGCTGGAGACCTGCCCTCACTCTCTAGTAGAGCTGCTGTGACACTGCCCCATTCCCAGGGAACACCCCCATCCCTGTGCTGTGGCATTCCCTGACTGCTGGTGCACAGCTGTAACCTCCACCACACCTCTGCCTTTGGGATTGGACCCCGAGCTGCTGGTTTTAAGAGGCTAGAGGGGAGAGGAGGGCACTGAGGTTCGGCTCACAGACCTGGGGGTGTTGGGAGGGTCCACGTGAATCCACATGAGGCAGAAACCAGTTCCAGCAGTCTGTGTTTTGACAGGGAAAACCTCCTTGAGTCACAATCTGTGTCGCTGCCTCGAGTTTCTGTGTGAAATTTGGAGCTTTAAACCCCAGTCGACATGTGAGGAAAACATCGCCCCAACAAATGGCCTTTATTGGCCTCGAATTTCAAAGTGCTGGGGCTTGGCCTGTCCTGCTGGCAGAGCCTTGGAGGGCCCTGATTCCCACAGGAAGGGCTGCTTGGCATTTGCCACAGCTCAGCCCCTTCCCTGTGTCTGAGTGACACCTGCACTCCGGCCTTTCATAGGATTGTGGAATGGTTTGGGCTGGATGGGACATCAAAGTTCATCCAGTGCCACCTCTGCCATGGCCAGGGCCGCCTTCCACTATCCCAGGATGTTCAAAGCACCATCCAACCTGGCCTTGGACACTTCCAGGGATCCAGGAGCAGCCACAGTTTCTCTGGGAAATCTGTGCCAGGAAGGAATTTTTCCCCAGCATCCAACCTAAATCTCCATCTCTGCCCTGGCAGTTGCCTCAGCTGCCCCTTGATGCCAAAGCTCCAGTTTTCAGAGCATGGGCTGGTTCTGCCTCTTTTCCCTCACCCTCCCTGTGCTGGGAGCTCCAGCTTCCTGGTTTGTTTTTGAACTTCCACACCTGGGGAGACAGATGTGTGCCTAGGCATCAGGAGAAGTGTGAAGCAGGAGTGGCCTCAAAGGCAGGGGATCAAAGGCTCTTTCTTGTCTGACTCGCCCATGCAGGAGCCCGCCCCATGTTATCGCTGGACCCCGTGCAAAATAAATAGGTTAATCAGCATCTTATTAAAATGAAGTGCTTTAATCTGTAATTCCCGAGCTGCTTTGAAAACTCGCCGAGGTCAGCGGCTGCAGGAGCTGAGGGTGGGTGGGTGAGCAGGGAGTGATGCCAGCAGCAGCATGAGGGGGTTCAGGGGTGTGAGCAGCAGTGCCAGGCAGGGACAGGCACAGAGGAATCTGTGCTGGGAACCCAGGGCCTTTGGGCTCAGTGCTTCTGTCCCAAGAAGCCACGGAGCTGCTCCCAGGGCTGGAGCCCCTCTCCTCTGGAGCCAGGCTGGGAGAGCTGGGGGTGCTCCCCTGGAGAGGAGAAGCTCCAGGGAGAGCTCAAAATCCCTTACAGAGCCTGAAGGGGCTCCAGGATCCAAAGGGCAGGGCTAGATGGGATATTGGGCAGGAATTGTTCCCTGGCAGGGTGGGCAGGCCCTGGCACAGGGTGCCCAGAGCAGCTGTGGCTGCCCCTGGATCCCTGGCAGTGCCAAGGCCAGGCTGGACAGGGCTGGGAGCAGCCTGGGACAGTGAAGGTGTCCCTGCCATGGCAGGAGGTGGAATGAGATGGTCTTTGGGGTCCTTTCCAACCCAAACCATTCCATGATTCTATGCAGTAGGTGCTGGGCTGGGGCTGCCCTCAGGGCATGGAGCCCCTTGGAGCCTCCCTGCAGCTCCTGGCCACGGGCTGCTGTGGCTGGGCACAGAATCCAGGGCTGGATGTGGCCCCACATCAGCTGCGGTGCCAGAGGAACCTGGGCAGGGATTTTGTGCAAGTTGGTTCCTGCAGGATTTTGTTGCCACAGTGAGTTCAGTGCCTGGGAGCTGTTTCAGGCTGTGCATTCCCAGTCTGGTCACTGCTCTGTTTAGCCTCAGTCTGCCCAAAGTCCCACCCCAGCTCCTGCATTTAAGCAAGAAAAACAGGGAGGGAGAAACAACCCCAGACCACAAAGCTCTGCGAATCCCAGCGCTGGGGCTTTGCGAGCGGCTCTCGCCTCACTGGCAAATTTTAACCGGAGGAAATGACCTCACCTGGAGGTCCCAGGGGCTGCTGGCCTGAGGGCTGGG